TCCTCAAGACATAACATAATCTGATAAACCCTATTCATATTCTACATATAAGTAACAACCACGATATGTACTCAGACCCATCTGACTCCAAAACCAGAGCTACAATTGCACTCAGTGCTATATTATAATTTTTCTTCTGATTTCAAAATCTCAAATGTATTCATCACAAAGCGCAGAGCAGAAGTAAGAGATCAGTAAATCTCAAACTACTGAACTTGTAACTGCTGCAAAACTGAGAGATACCACTTTGTGCAAATATATACCTATTCAGATAAAATACTGTAAAGAGCTTTTTTGCAGTCACTGAATATTAACTTTTTAACAGAGTGAATTAACCTATGAGGAATGGGGGTCTTAGAGTGACTAGTGGTTTTTCCAATTAGTTCACATACCTTCCAAGGCTGGGCTATCTTACCTGGCCCTTTCCTCAGCCTTTCATGACTTATCTTCCCTCTAACAACCCTTCTAAGACTGTCCTTGATGGGTAGATTTCCTTTGTATTCTTTTAAAATATTCCTTCCCTAAAGAGGAGATGGTATGTCAAATTTCTTGTTTTTTTATCTTCTAATTCAAGAAAAGCTCTAACCTCTTATCTCAGATTTCTTAAGGACAAGGATTCACATTCTTTCTCATACAATAAACATTTTGTTAAGATTACAAAGGGTTGAAAAGAATTACACTATTTTATCAATGATTATTTTAAACCAATTACTATTTTTAGTATTATTGGGACGAGATTTTTAGGATTGATTTAAAAATGATCCACAATAAAGGAAAAAGGCACTAGGAATATGCATAATTTTTATAAGACATTCAACTGCACCTGCCTCAAAATAAATATATTAATTCATTTAAAGGAAATCCAGTCTTCAACCAGTAACTGAGTACCTATTATGTCCCGGCACTATTCTAGACACTTGGGAAACCACAATTTTTTTTTAAAACCCCCTTTTCTTCATGGAGTTTACCACCAGTGAGAGATAATAAATAATGTTAGAAAATGATAAATGCTATGGGGAAATAACAGAACAAGGTAAGCTTAGCAGAGTGCTAAGGTAAGTGCAATTTTAAATAGGGTGGTCACAGCAATCCCACTCCTGGGCATACACACCAAGGAAACCAGATCTGAAAGAGACTACATGTACCCCAATGTTCATCGCAGCACTGTTTATAATTGCCAGGACATGGAAGCAACCTAGATGCCCATCAGCAGACGAATGGATAAGGAAGCTATGGTACATATATACTATGGAATATTACTCAGCTATTAAAAAGAATTCATTTGAATCAGTTCTAATGAGATGGATGAAACTGGAGCCCATTATACAGAGTGAAGTAAGCCAGAAAGATAAAGACCAATACAGTATACTAATGCATATATATGGAATTTAGAAAGATGGTAATGATAACCCTATATGCAAAACAGAAAAAGAGACACAGATGTACAGAACAGACTTTTGGACTCTGTGGGAGAAGGCGAGGGTGGGATGTTCTGAGAGAACAGCATCGAAACAAGTATACTATCAAGGGTGAAACAGACCACCAGCCCACGTTGGATGCATGAGACAAGTGCTCAGGGCTGCTGCACTGGGAAGACCCAGAGGGATGGGATGGGGAGGGAGGTGGGAGGCGGGATCGGGATGGGGAACACATGTAAATCCATGGCTGATTCATGTCAATGTATGGCAAACCCACTACAATATTGTAAAGTAATTAGCCTCCAACTAATAAAAATAAATGAAAAAATAAAATAAATAGGGTGGTCACAGAGGATTTAAGAAACTGTCACAGTCTGAGTAAAAACTTGAAGGGAAGGGAGTCAGCCATGATGATACTTGGGGGGAAAGTACTAAAGGCACAGAATCAACCAGGGCAAAGGTTCTGGTGTATCCTAGAACAAAGAGGCCAGAGAGGTTAAAGAGAAGCCAGCAAAGGGCAGAGTAGTAGTAGGTAGAAAGAGAACTATGTTTGCGGGCAGAGTACAGATCATGTAGGGTTTATGGGACACTAAGGAATCTGGATTTTATGTTGAATGAAATGAGGATTCACAGAAAGTTTGGTAGAGTGTCAAGATCTGTTTCACCAGAAACAATCTGGATGATAGATTAAACATGGATTAAAGGGAGAGCAAGGGTGAAAGCAGGGAGACCAGTGAGGAGGCTACAAAAGAAACCCAGGAGAGAAATATGTATTTTCCATAAACTTGACCACAATTTGTTTATGCTTACTTTCAAGCATAAATAGATAAAACAAATCTCAGATCCTGCTAATAGGAAATAACTGGATCTTACTGACGTTTATTATAGAGCTCTTGGCATATACATGCACACACATCTTTTTAACTACTCGCTGCAGAATACCAATTGTGTTCCTTTACAATCAGTTATTCACTGTATTTTTAAAATATCCTTTTGTAGCTGAAACTATTCTTTAAAGAAATAAGTCAGTATTTCTATAGCTGTCAATTATATACTATTTTTGAAGAAAAAATAAGTTACTTCTGTTCATTAAAAGTATAAATTATTTATTTATCTTGATTGGTGTTTCTCAGACAATCTGAATTTTACATTCCTAACACATTTCACATTCCTAAAACATTTCAGTTCCTTCAGGTAAGACAAATTTCTACAAAAGTTTCTCTTTTTATACTTCTATCTTTAAAGAAATTACTTTCTTCAAATTGATACCAAAGTTGCCTAGCAGTATCTGTGTTTTCATTTCAGGAAAGGGCAACCATGAAAAACTCCCACTGTCACAAATAACATGTTCAAAAAAACATCCCTACATGATACCCAAAAAACCTCTTTCTTATCTTATCCTCCTGGAAAAGGTAAATATTGAATACAATCTCCATAAATTCTAAAGAAGTTATTCTTAACAATGTATAAGATATACATGTATATAAGAGAAAGAGTACAGTAAGTTGAAGGTATTTTAATTGCTTAGAAGAGGACTAAGGAATATAGGAGATTTTGAAATAAAAACTCATACCTCTAAAAATTTTTTTTTCATGAAATGGAAATAAGCACACTGTCCTATAACATTTATGAAGGAAATCAAGAGTGAAATTTGAAGCAAAGTAAGAGTGAAACAATTCACTTGCTTCAAAGACTCAGGAAAGCACTTAGATTTGGCTTGGATTTTTAGAAACTTCTGTGACAATTCTTTGGAAGAAATGGGTGTGTAAACTTACATAGCAATACTCAATTCAAACTCATTAATTCACTCAACATTTAAGTGTTTATGTGCCAGAAAATGTGCCAGAAACTGCACTAAGCACTGGGGGTAGTCCCTGTTCTCAAGGGCTTAGAGTTTTCCCTTCTTCCAGCTACTGAGCAACTACTATGAAGCCAGATGTTGTGGATGCAACAAACAGGAAACAAGAGTTCCTACCTGCATTCAGCTTATACTGGAGAAGGAGGGAAATGCCTCAAGAATGAGACACACATCTAACTTAACAAGGACAACGTGTAAGTGTTGTATGTGTTGCTTTTGAAAGTGCAGACACTTCCTTCATGGGGATGCAAAGCAGGGAGTGATGGATTCAGGGAGAGAGGGAGGGGAATTTAGGAACTTCAGATACAGCTCAGCAGAGTCCTCAAAGAGGATTACATGCTCACCTGCTGACCTTGGGGGAAGGGTTCCAGAGAAAGCAACTGGAGCTAAGGAAGAGAGGTGTGAATAAGCTGTTGTGTTTGACAGGCCTGGAATATGAATGTGAGGGATAAATCACGGAGTCTTCCGTATGCCACATGAAAAGACAGGACTTTACCAGCACATATCAAAGGCCCCTGATGGGTTTTACTCAGAAAACCAGTATTTGTGATCAGGTTTTTCTGGTGTGGTGAGACACTCATTTACATAGGAATGAGAAAAGAATAACACTAGATAATGATGTCACCACATGAAACAACAAAGGAGACTGCCCAGTTAGAAAATTAAACCCCAATCAGGAAAAAAAATTAAGCCACTTAACTATCCAAGTCCTTCTGGTGAAGTTTTTAATCAACATCTTGAAAAAGGAGAGGAAAGGTTTATATATATATTATGGATTATAACATCTACATATCTATTTTGAGTTTTCTAAAGAGGTCTTCAGCTCTTTACAAATTATGTAAAGACATCTGGAGCTGCTGATTGCTGTACAAAAAGCAGTGAAGCTATTTAGAAGACAAGTCTTTGATACATAGGGAGAACCATGAGTAACAGAAGGTATTTCTCAAGTAAGGTTTAAAGGTTTCCAAAGTTCAAGATAATCAAGTTCTCTTAAATCAGCGAGTTTAAAAGGTGTGTCACAGGGGTGGAGCAAAAAGAGGAGGGGTTCAGAATTAATGTTGTTGTTGCTGTTCAGTCGCTAAGCTGTTTCCTACAATTAATATAAACACACACACACACATATATATGCATACATATATATGTAAAGAAGCAACTCCATGTTGTTGGAACCAAAATCACTACTTGAAAATCTCCCAAGCACAGGAAGAAATGAACGCCTACTAAATTCAATGAATACAGACAAACGAGAGGGAGGAGAGGAGGATCACACTTGAAAGTATAAATGGGGTGTATGTGTGGCGGCGGGTCAGGGGGTAGGGTCTGGATAAGGTTAACCACTTATCCAGAACCCATAATCCAGCCGGTGATGAGGAAATCATCTTCGAATCTCACAATTCAAATATAAAGGCAAGAAAACATCCCTTCCGAACTCCACAATCTAGCCACCAGTCACTGGTCAAGGGGATATAATCACACACTCGAAACCTAGAACTCAAGGACAGAAGTACCATCCCCACACTGCTCGAAAGGAGGTGAAGGATTCCCCCTAAACTGACGATGGGAGCAATCACACTTAAACCCAGCCCTAAGAGGGGTCAGTGCCTCCCAGGCCAGGTGTTGCCGAGGCCAGGGACAGTGACAGACAGCCCCGAAGCCCCCACAATCTCCGCCAGAGCCGCCTCTACTCCTCGCACCCCCCTTCCCCAACACACACCCTCCCCTACCTGATATGGCGGCGGCGGCTCCTGATCCGGCTCCGTCCCCTCGCCAAAGCTGGCCCGGTCGGACTGAGACTCGTGAAGCAGGGAGATGTCATCCGAAGTGGGGGACTTGAGGCAGTTCCCCATCTTCCGGGGCTGGGGTTTGTGATCTGGGGGAGGAAGAAAGCAGTGGCGGGGTCGTTCGCACGCTCCGCGGTCAGCCTCGGTCAGCGAGGTGGGGTCGGGCGGCAGGCCGGGGTTCAGGCGGCAGCGGCTCCCCCAGCCCCCGGCGCCGCCGAAGGGCAGCTCATGCCAGTCCCTGGGGCTGGGGGCTTAAGGCTGGGCCGCGGGTTTCCCGGGGTCGCGGCGGTTGCCTCCTCTGAGGCGACGGCGGGGGGGGGGGGGGGGCGGGGAGACGAAGCACTTCCCCACCCCGCCCCCCCGCGGGGCGGCGGCGGCCACGGAGCTGCTGGGCCTAATCCAGGTCAGGAGCGGGGGGGCGCGGCCGTCGCGGCTCCCTCAGCTGCTGCCTCAGCTGCTGCTGCTGGCCCCGCCGACGCCGGAGCCGCAGCCGCGGGCCTCATCCTACTCCGCTTCGCAGCGGCGGCGGCGGCCAGAACGAGGCCAGCTGCGGGCCTGCGTCACGCCGCCGTGCGTGCCCTGGTCCCGCCCCCGGCGCTGGGAGGCGTGGGTAGCTCCGGCGGCGCTCCCGGCTCCTTTGCCACCCCCCGCCCCTCCCCCGTCCCCAGCAGCTGTTTCTGGTGCTGCGTCAGTTTCTGCTTCTCTGACTGCCCGGGACGCGATTCCGATACCTCTTTTGGTCTTCGGTTCCTCCCCACGCCAACTGCTCCCTCTTCGCTTGTCTCAGCTCTTACCTGTGCGTTGTTTTGACAGTCTTCTCACCACCTGCCAAGTAATCTATTTTTAAACCCATATCTGAATGGATCACTCCCATGATTAAAATATTAAAGGGTCTATCCCTTCAGAAGAAAGTCCAGACTCACCACCTCCCCAATCACTTCCCAATCCTCCTACATCACAGTCATAAGAATTCTTCTACCGATTATTCTATTTATTTCTATTCTCACCACCATAGTACAAGCTACCGTCATTTCTCTGCTGTAATACTTTGAACTATTTCCCCTGCGTTCACCATTGCCCCCATTCAATTTACTATTTGTACAGTTACCTTTTTAAAATGTAAATCTGATCATGTCATTCCTGTAGGAGGAATTTAAGCGTTTTAAAAAATTCATTAAAAACTTCCCAATACTGTTATGACTGAAGTATTAATTCTTAAATGGTTTACAAATCTGGCTACCTCCCCAGTCTCATTTGTGGCCTTGTTCCCTCACATATTCTAAACTCTAGGATGTCTAAAACTAGGATGTCTAGTTTTCAGTTATCTAGAAGACTTCTCCCTCTGGCTGAGGCCTTTACCCATAATGTTTCTCTGACATAAACTCACTTCTCCCCGCTCCTGACCTTACACCTTCCATCAAACTATATTCCCACTTGTCTTTCCCGGACTCAATTTTGATTCCACTGGGAAGCCTGTCCTCTAACTCTCCAGTCTGGGTTAGTTGCCTCCTGTTGGCTCTCAGTCCCTGAGTCCCTGTGAGTCTCTGGCACAGCCAGATCAAGCTGAATAGTCTGCCCCTCCTCTGTGCAAGGCCTGGCACGTTGCCGGAGGCAGAGTAGGCTTTCTTCTTAACTGAAATAACAAAGAGCTCAAGAGGCAATGTATGTAAAGGGAGGAAATAAGAAAGATGAGGATGTTCTAATATTCATTCATTCAGCGAGAGGAAAAGAGGGTCTTGACTGTCTGTTTTTCATTCTTCATTTACTATTTTTTTTTTTTTCCCCCACCAGACTCTATATTAGGCACTAAAGAAATCTGACTTATTCTTGATGGAGCCCAGAATCCAGCTAGGAAGATAGGTAAACAGTGAGGTCTTCTGCCACCCCCACGACAGGTTTTTAGAGGGCAGAGGAGGGAGTAATTAGAGCACTGGGTGAGGATCAGAAAGGTTTCTTGGAATCAGAACTGTGTTAAAATGGCATGTCCTAAGTGCTGTAACTTTGAAGTCCCTGTTCTGTAAAATTACATATTGTATTTGAATACACTCATATCACACATTAAATGTTACCATTTTGCTATTTTTCCTCTTTTCCAAGACTTGCTGTTAATGGCTTCCACCTGAATAGGTGTATCTGTAATGCCATGTTTGTTATCAGGATCTTTCACACATCCCCAAGAATCATCGCTTAATTCTCTGGCTTGGACAAATAAAATTATTGGATCATTTGGAAGGAAATTTTCAGGTATTTTCCTCTTTTCTCTTATTGCCATTTTCCTGGTCCCCTCTGAACTGTTGTGACAAATTCTTAATGAAGCCCTAGCCTCTGCACCATTCTCCACACTACTGCCATAAACAATGTAATCAGAGAGCATTCATAGACTTGCGGTTCAGAAATTTAGCATGACGTTAAGGCCTTGAACCATTTGATCCCATCCTGATCTCTGATGCGACTTTTTTTATTTTAAATTTATTTTTTAATTGAAGGATAATTGCTTTATAGACTTGTGTTGGTTTCTGCCAAACATCAACATGAATCGGCCATAGGTATACCTAAGTCATCTCCCTCTTGAGACTCCCTCCCACCTCCTTCTCCATCCCGCCTATATGACTCTTGACTCCAACCAGGCATCCTATACTCCAGCCACATCACAATACTTACCATGCCCTCAGTTTTCACTATGCTTTTCCACTTCTGATCCCTTGCCATGTTGTTCCCTTTTGTTGATATCCAACTATTTTTTAAGACTGCCCTGAGATGCTACTTTCTTCATACAGCTGTGCTTGATTTCATTTAGTTGGAATATATGTAACAATATAAAATAAATGGGATCCATTACTATTATATATATCTATTTATGTGAATAGTTTAACATAATTTCTATGTATATACATAGATGTGTGTTTATCTTAATATATATGTAAGAATGAATGAAATCACAACTTCCATTTATTAGCCTGAGTTTTGAAAGGTTGATGTTAACATTCCTGTTTTACAGGAATAGAAATATGGCTTCACACTGTTTATAATAGCCAGGACATGGAAGCAACCTAGATGCCCATCAGCAGACGAATGGATGAGGAAGCTGTGGTACATATACACCATGGAATATTACTCAGCCATTAAAAAGAATTCATTTGAATCAGTTCTAATGAGATGGATGAAACTGGAGCCCATTATACAGAGCGAAGTAAGCCAGAAAGATAAAGACCATTACAGTATATATTACACATATATATGGAATTTAGAAAGATGATAACGATAACCCTAAATGCAAAACAGAAAAAGAGACTCAGATGTATAGAACAGACTTGTGGACTCTGTGGGAGAAGGCGAGGGTGGGATGTTTCAAGAGAACAGCATTGAAACATGTATATTATCAAGGGTGAAACAGATCACCAGCCCAGGTTGGATGCATGAGACAAGTGCTTGGGCCTGGTGTACTGGGAAGACCCAGAGGGATCGGGTGGAGAGGGAGGTGGGAGGGGGGACCAGGATGGGGAATACATGTAAATCCATGGCTAATTCATTTCAATGTATGACAAAAACCACTGCAATGTTGTAAAGTAATTAGCCTCCAATTAATAAAAATAAATGGAAAAAAAAAAAAGAAATATGGCTTCACATGGCTACTCAGCGGGTAAAGCCAGTACTTAAATTATATACCAGTTACCTCTATTAGGTTGGGAGAGGTAACTACGTCATTTTTCGTTCTGATAGTTTTTCTCAATGTATAAAAACAAGAGAATGGGGTAAGACTTATCTTCAATGCCTTTAGTATCCATGTGTACTTTTGTAAGGAAGTAGCTATTCAATGATCTTTCTTCCTAATCTAGTTTTAGAAGGGAACACTTGGGAAGTGTCCTGCACACCAGAAAGGGTGATCTAATCACAAAACAATTTTAAATAAAAAAAGTAACCAGCACTATTGAAGTGACAAAGACTCTTCTAGGCCCAACTCTAGTCAGGCTCCTCTAAGCCCTCAAGGCTCTAACTTTGGGCTTTGTGCTTGACCTACTTATTTCAGTTTTAGCAAGAATCTAGTTGAATTAGTTTAGCCAGAGTCCCCCTCCCTTAGTATCTGACCACCTTGGCCTGCCTTTAGCAGAAATCCTACCAATGTTTTTAGCCAGAATTCCTTTTTATTCCTGATGTTTCCTCCATGTAATTTTCCACCCACTGTTTCCCACCCTGTTCCTTGCCCATAACTTCCCACTTGTCCTTTTTGTATCACACAGAGTGAAGTCCAATTCTATACTCTTGTCTCCTATTGCAATAGGTACTGAATAAAATATGCCTTCACTGCTTTGTCTGATTCCTATTTTCTCTGACTTTGGGATATCTAATGCAGAAACAGATATGAAAATCTAGTATCTTCTGTTGAGCCAGATTTTTTTTAAATACACTTTTTTTAAGACCAGTTTTAGTTTCATATCAAAAAACTGAGCAGAAGGTACAAAGATTTACCACGTACCCCTGCCTCCATACGTGCATAGCCTCCCCCATTATCAACACCCTGCACCAGACCAGCTTGTTTATTTTTGGCTGTGCTGAGTCTTCATTGCTGCGAGTGTGCTTTCTCTAGTTGTGGCAAGTGGGGTCTTTCTAGTTATGGTGCACGGGCTTCTCCTTGCAGTGGTTTCTGTTGTTACACAGCACAAGCTCTAGGCTCATGGGCTGAGTAGCTGTGACCATGGGCTTAGTTACTCTGCAGCATGTAAATCTTCCCAGACCAGGGATTGAACCCATGTTCCCTGCATTGGTGGGCAGATTCTTAACCACTGGACCACCAGGGAAGTCCCAAACATTTGGTAAACTGGTATTCTATCACACAAAAGGTTTGTTTATGTTGGGGTTCACTCATGGTGTTGTACATTCTATGGGTTTAGACAAATATATAATTCTGTGTATATATCATTATAGCATGATACAGAATACTTTCGCTGCCCTAAAACTCTTCTGTACTCAGCCTATTCATTCCTCCTTTGGCAACCACTGATGTCTTAGCAGTCTCCATGGTTTGATTTTTTTCAAAATGTCATATATTTAGAATCTTACAGCGTATA